CCTCCTGCACATCTCCTACTGGGGATGTGCCTGCAACCCAGGTACATGCCCTTGACCGGAATCGAACCCAGGACCCTTGAGTCCGCAGGCCGACGCTCTATCCACTGAGCCAAACCGGTTTCGGCGATTTTTTATTTTTAAAAAGCTAGAAGTTTACATTGATCTGGTTAAATGTAAAGCATTTTGTCTTTCTAATATGAATATAGTGGCTGAACGACATTTTTAAATGCATTAGGGTCTGACAATCAGAATAATAAAAATATTACACTGTATGTGGAAAGTCTATTGTGATAAATAAAAACCTCTTTGAAGATATCTCTTATCCAGTCTAGCAATGTAATTATTTTCACATCCCAAGATTGGTCATGCATGAAAGTTTTATTTTACAGTGCCTGCCACATAGAGTATGCTCAGTAAATATTTGTTGAATGAATGACTTTCTGGTTTTAATCACTGGACTAAATGTCAGATGTTGAAAGTATTTACAATACAGCAGAAACTTTTGTCAAAAAGAAAACATTTAAATAGAGGGAAGAATTTTGTAAACCTTATAAGCTAAGAAATTTTTATTTAGTATACATATTGGTCAGTTAAGAACTGAAAGAGTTTAACATAAAAATGAAAGAAAAAAAGAATACTTGAAAAGTAAATTAATTTCAAAAAATTCTTTTTTTTTAATATATCTTATTGATTTTTTACAGAGAGGAAGGGAGATGGATAGAGAGTTAGAAACATTCATGAGAGAGAAACATCGATCAGCTGCCTCCTGCACACCCCCCACTGGGGATGTGCCCGCAACTAAGGTACATGCCCTTGACCAGAATCAAACCTGGGACCCTTCAAGTCCACAGGCCAATGCTCTATCCACTGAGCCAAACCAGTTAGGGCCAAAAAATTCTTTTATAAGTTTAGTGATAATTTGAAAGATCTGATACACACATAACTGAAATAATAAAGAACCTCTTGAAGTTGAAGGACTAAAGGTATAAGAAGCCATTTCTGTGGAAGAGAAGGTGGAAAGAAGTTGACATGCCTAAATAAATGCTGTACAGTGACTTGAGGCATGTATTTGGATTTACAAATTAGAACCTAAATCTGATTACCCAAAAAAGAATTCAAGGAAATAGCAAATAATTAAAGACTAAGATATATTTCTTTATGCTACTGACTAAAAAGAAATCTAGAAATTATCTCACTTGAAATAAGTTAAACAAATGACATTGTCTAACTATGTGATTTATCCTATCTAATAGAGGGAATATGCTAATTGACCCTCACACCATAACAAAGATGGCAGCGCCCACCGCCAATAAGGCCAATAAGGAGGGAATATGCTAATTGACTGCCCCACCCTCAAAGATGGTAGTGCCCACAGCCAATAAGGAGAGAATATGCTAATTGGCTGCCATGCCCTCAAAGATGGT